ATTGCTACAGTCAGTCTGGAACATAATCAAACAGAACTGTAATGAAGAAAGAAACTGTCAGCCTGCTTTTAAAATAACCCACTCATAAATCGGTCAGTTCTTTCTATTTAAAGATGTTACTTCATTTTACATTTGTCTTTAGTAAACATTTCAGGTCTGAATAGCATCTGCTTTGCTTTTATGATTTCATGACTGTCTTTTTCGCCTGTGCCTCAGATCCCTGGTGGTAACTAATGAGTATCTGCTGCAGCAGCTGAATAAAGAGCAAAAAGGTTATTCTGGGAAAGCACTCCTGCCTCCTGAGAAGAGTCATCATTTGGGGAGATCGTCACCCTTTGGGAAAAGCACGCTGTCTTCCTCCTCACCAGTGGCACATGACACGGGTCAGTATCTAATACAGAGTGTCTCAGACTCTGTTCCAGAGCCTAGTTTATGGAGCTAGTGCTGAGCACCTTCTCTGCAGCTTCCCTCTCAGCCCCAGAGGGGCTCTCGGTGTCATTGCCACTAGTATGGTGGTATTTACCCACAAGATTAAGAAAAAATCTTATTCTGATTACATTGTATTGGTCCTTTTTATTTCCTTTTTTTTTTTTTAATCTCCTCCCATTGGGTCATTCTTTCTCCCTGCCCACAGAAATAGTTGGCACTTAATCCTACGCATGATATCACATAGAAACATTTGGCTGAAAATGTTGAAAGGAAAAAAACATCAGACATTTTTTTGAGTGTCACTTGAAACTATGTAGTCGAAGGTTAAAAAAGAACATCAACGGCCAGGTATGTTTTGTGTTAGAACAAATTTCAGAGATTCTATATTGATTGGTCCATCAAACATGTTTTGAGTTTCCTCCTATGATAGTGAAAAGGTGACACTGTCTGGGGTCAGCTCAGGAGCAACCAACAGTTTAGTTGAGAAAAGCAAAACTCATGTGATGGTATTTGGTATTGGTATCAAACAGGTCTAAATACAAGCCCAAAGATGCCCTGGAGAGAGAAACAGAGAGGGAGAGAGAGAGGCAGAGGAAGGAATTCCCACTCTGGGGAGTTGGAGAAGGCATCAGTGAGGACCTGTCATATGGGGGGAAGTTTGCAGAATTATAGTGGTAACAGATAGAGGGGGCATGCGGAGTCTCCCCGGCCAAGAATGCAAGAAGAGTCTGAAGCCCTTAGAGGGATTGCAGGGCAGGAAAGATGTGGGTCATGATGTGGGTCATGATCCTGGGAGAATATATATATTCTCCTGGGAGAAAAAAAATATATATATACACATATATACATATATGTATATATGTATGTATGTACATGTATATATATATATATAGGACCTGTCCTAGCCTGGGAGATATGGTGTCAGGAAATGTCTGCTAAAGAAATGATCTTTCTTTTTCTTTTTTTTTTTTTTTAATTTTATTGTAGTTATGTTAAGGAATCTCTATGCCCAATGTGGGGCTCAAACTTTTGACCCCAAGATCAATAGTCACATGCTCCTCCCACTGAGCCAGCCAGGCGCCCCTAAAGAAAGGATCTTTTTTTTTTAAAGATTTTATTTATTTATTTGACAGAGAAAGATCACAAGTAGGCAGAGAGGCAGGCAGAGAGAGAGGAGGAAGCAGGCTCTCTGCCGGGTGGAGAGCCTAATGGGAGCTCAATCCCAGGACCCTGGGATCATGTCCTGAGCCAAAGGCAGAGGCTTTAACCCACTAAGCCACCCAGGCGCCCCAAGAAAGGATCTTTTAACTGAGACCTGAAGAATGAATAAGAAGTCACCAAGCAAAGCATAGGGCCAAGGACAGAGGCAATGGGAAGGAACATGGTCCATTCAGGGAACTGAGGTGCTGAGAAGAGATGAGTAGGAACTAGGTCGCACTGGTCCTTGAAGATTTTAGATGGGAAGACAAAGGAGTGACATTTGTGTTTGAGAAGCTTTCTATGTAAGAGGAATGTGTTGAGGGCCATGTGGAGTAAGGGAAACCAAAGATGAGGCAGAGATGTGAGCGAAGACTGGTGTGGTCCAGACCAGAGATGAAGCTTCCAAATGTTAGCTTTGGGCTCACTTTACACGAGTACCCTGTATTTCAGCCCCAAGGCATTATTTTTCCAAATCCTGATTGGTTGGGCATTTAAAAATCGATGGGAAAGATAATGAAAGTGGCTTTAAGTGTGTTTCTGCTTCACGGTAGTCCAGGCAGCTAATGTTGCCAGGGAGCATGTAGAAGGCAAAAGACTGTCAACCTAACTCCATGTTGTGCTTCTCTCCATCTCCAGGGTCGTGTCAGAGAGAGAGAGAGAGACAGGTGGAAAGATTATACACTTATTTGCTCCCCTGACCCAGGTACTCGGCAGGGAAGGAGAGCTATAGCCAAAATAATGAGACATGAAGATCACAACCAAGATCGCACACCTCTAAGTTATAAATAAAATCCACAGACCTCTGAATTTTACGTGGGTTCTCAAAAGAAGCATGTACAAAGGAGCCATAAGTTTCTTTGAGGAGCATGGCCCTGCAGGAACTCCAGTGAGCTTGTGCTCTGTGGAAGTAGTGAGAACAGCTCCCCTCCTAACTTTCCTAGGCCTGCCTTGGCCCCATTAAGAGGACCCCAAAGAGTATAAACCTTCCCCAGGTAGGGTAGCCTCAGCCAATAGCCTTATAGCCCTGAGTAGTCGTATTTCAGTGTCCTGGCTCAGTACACAGGCCAACTTACTGGGTAGACCATTGAGGGAAAAATAATGAACTTCTCAACCCCAGCTCTCCCTTCCTTGCCCTATGGACATCTAATAATGCTAGACCCAAAACACATTTAGGGTACCTCTAAGGAGGAGCAGACTGAGTCAATCACCTTTCACCCTATTTTCTATTGGCACTGAAAGTGACTGGTCCTGCCCCAGGCCAGGCACCTCTCTAGGGTTGCTGGCCATGTCTGGGGGAGTCAACTGTGTTTCCTAATTTCCCTTGGTCCAGAGGGCAGGGACAGGGATGGGGGTGTCAAAGAGAGGGCCAAAGAGTTGTTGCCCTGTGGGGCTAAGTGGGCTCAACATGGAGTGGGGAAGGTTCCTGAAGCAAGTAGAAAGTCAGTGGAGAGGGATTTCTCACCATAGGCCTGGCACTGTTGGGTGGAAAAAGGAAACAGGGCTGGGATGGAAACTGCATTCTCAGGGAAGTTCTACGTCCAAAAGGAGGAGCAGGGCCAATCTGACAAGTGTAGCCTTCTTGCCAGCCATACATAGAGTTTTAATGGCTCTGTCTCACAGAACCTAACCTCTCTTCCTTGCCTACCTGGCTTTGCTAGCCAGGGTACCCAAAGCTTTCCACCATGAGGAGACTGTGGAGGATGGAACAGTGATAACTGAAGGGCTGAAGTGGCATTATTTGGGTGGTCGATGCCACATACGAGATTCTGCTAGATCCATCAGTCCTTAAGGAGTTGACTGGCTCCAGGAGGGCCTTTATTTCTCTCAGGTTCTGTAACTACTTTTCAAGAAGGGGTACTTTACTCCTATAAAGTAGAGTTTTGTGGCTCAGCCTTTTCTCTCTCTGGACTCCTCCAAGCCATGTTGCTAGTCATAGGAGGAGCTGAGCTGCTGCTCCCCTATACATTGGATGGTACTCACCTGCTTAATAGCCTGGACCAATTTGCAATACAGTTAAATTCTTTTCACTATGGGAATTATTTTAGTAAATGCAAGCCAGAGGATTTGGGTTTCAGTCTTATTTTGCTCACTTAAGTTTGCAATTCAACAGATTCCATAAGGCTGAAGAAATCATTCCTTTTACTGTCTGATGGTGGGAGAGATAAAGCTCTCTGAAACTCCTCCCTGGGCAGTGATGTGGTCAGCTGAGTCAGGAGGAGCCCATAGCTGCCAGCTGTTAGGCAAGGCTCTGCTGTGGCCAGGTGCTGACCTCCCCACTGTAATTCCCATCTCATCTCCCTAGTGTCCCTGCCCATACTATTCTTCTCCAACCCCACTCCAAATAGAGTTGGACTCAGGGACTCTAGGCTTACCTGGGGAAGGAACATCCCAGAACAGTCTATGGGATGAGGGAATAAAGAGCTATAAGCTTTGCTGCCTTATCCACGTCAGAAGGAAAAAAAAAAAAAAAGGCATTTGTGGGTGTGTATCTGTTAAGCCTTTTCTAGCATCCTTGGGAGTTGACCTCTCCTGGGCAGGCCCTAAGTTCCATCTAGTCTGCTTGTCAGAGGGAAGGAAGGAGAGTTGGCGCCAAAGCCCTGGGCTTGGAAATAGCTATGGCCTAATACCCAGAGCCTCAGAGAAGAAAAAAGGTTGATCTCAGGCACCAGAGATTTCCCCTCTCCTCTCCCAACCTGGGATGTTGAACAAATGCGAGGGAATCAGTAAGCAGCCCCTTCACTGTTGGACATCCTGCTCACCTGCCAAAGGCTGGTGTTGGGTGCCAGGCTCTATCACTGGCCATCCAGCACCATTTTTGGAAATCAGTGTTAGGGCTTGCTGTTAGAAAAAGCCTGGCCTGGGGCAAGACACATGGTTCTGGGCTCTGTTCTGCAGAAGCCCCCTCACTCTCTGGACCTCAGCTCTAAAATTAGGGAGTTGGACTATCTACTCTCTAACATTCCTACTGGTCTTGCATTCTCTGACCTTCTGAGTTAGACCCCAAAATGACTAACCTTGGTGGCCCCATTGAGGTAGGGACCTGTCAGAAGACATACACCTGAGGCCTGGCACTGGGCCCTCCCCAACACCTGGCCCAGGCCTAGTCTGCTGTCTCATTCCTCTTTCCTGGAGAGGCCAAGACTGAACCCTAATAGGACAGCAAGCTGTGATCTTAAGATAATGGGTAAAGACTGAGGTGAGAGGCCATAGAATTTCCTAAGGAGCATCCTCAGGCAGTCTGGCTCTGTGCTAATGGAAGGGGCCTGATGTATGTCTTTTTCTGGGCAGAGTGTGACATGCAAGTGAGTGGCAACAGAGGTCATCAAGGTGTGAATGTCAATAACCCTATTATTATAAACTTGACCAGGCCATATTGGTACAAAAGGTGTCTTTATTGAGGTCTGGGTAAAAATTAGGCACTTGGCCAGAGCAGCAGCTTAAATATGAGGCAAGCACGCAGGGGTTAGCCATGCCTGGGGCTAGGTTGGGGCAGTGAGGCAATAGGCACAGACTCTCCCCAGATAGCTGAAGTCAGGGAGGAAAGAGGAAGCGGGAAGGGGATGCAGAGCAGTCTGGGTCAGAGTCCTGGTGGGGCTGGGCAGAAAGCGCTGGGTGGTAGATCCAGCAGGGAGGGGACAGGGCTCTCTTGCTCCACATGCCCTTTAGGCCCAGGCCTGAGCATCTGTTGGGGGCAGCCGCACTGGGGGTCTTCCCAGGTCTCACTTCTTGACCTTGGCATCATAGGTGCCTGCATTCTTGTAGGCACTCACATAGCCGCTGTCATCCAGGATGTCCTGACGCCCAGCAATGCCCTTGCCCTTGCCGCTCTCATCGAAGCGCTCCTTATGGGAGCCTGTGTACTTGCTGGTATCGGTCAGCCGTTCCACAGCACCTCCTGTCTTTGCTTTCTGTTTGGATAGAGTTGTTCCCCCAGGGATGCCTGGTTAGGGAGCCCAGCCCTCCACAACCAGCCATGATTCCCCATATCCCCGTCAGCCAAGGTACTTACGGTGACTCCCACATTGGCTGGCTCCTTGCCTGCCACCAGCTGGCAGATAGCATCAAAGGCTTCCTCCTTACTCTTCCCTTTGAATCGCTTCACTGCCAGCTCTTCTAGGGCCTTCTTGAACTCCTCATAGTTGATAACCCGAGCAGACTTTCCCCTGCCAGGTATGTGGGCACCATTAGTTTTCCCCCTTCTCCATGTCTTCCCTGGTTCCAGCCCCCCAGTACCCCACCTTCTGGGAACATCAGAAGCAAGGACTGCCTGGGGCTCACTTGACTTTGGAGAAGACGATGTCGACATCCGTCCCTGTCACCGCCTTTCCGTCAGCCACCTTGCAGTCCTTACACAGCTTGGCCCAGTTCTTGCCATTCATCTCTTGCCCACTGGCCTTGGGGTCACCATGGATGGCAAATTTGCGGAAGCTTTCCTCCAACCCAGCCACATCGGTGCTCGTTGCCATGCCACCCTGTGGTGGTGGGGGGAGACATGACCCACCTCAGTCACCTCTCAGCCAAGCTACCCCTCCTCTCCCCAGGGCACAGAACATCACTGCCTCTACCTCAAAATCTACCAAGGTCTGAGTTATGGGCACTTATGCCATAAACCCTCAGAATCGTAGATGGAGCTGCCTGGGGAAAGGGGCTAGCACTCAGTATGTCCCTGGGCCTCAGAGCCCCAAAAGGAAAGGTACTGTCACTTAATGCCAGCCCTGGCTTAGAGTAGAGTTCAAAAGATGAAATCATGATGCCAACACTAGGCTGGGAACAGAGTGGCACTGTCCAGAAAGACTGTGAGGGCAGCAGCTGGGTCCATGGCTTTGTCTGGCCCTGGCACGAGGCCTGCTCGGGTGGAAGTGAGGCTGGCAGGGCTGGCCCCCCTCCCTGGGAGTTCCGTGCCTGGCTGCTAGTTGGGCAGGTATTTAGGACAGGGTCTCTGTCAGGGTCATCAGGACCCAGCAAGACACAGCCCAGGCTGAGAAGGGAGCCAAAGCATAAGCAGGGGTTATGTGCCTTAGGCAGGGGTGCAGCTGGCCCAGCCAGGACCTTGTTACTATTTGCTGTTAAACAAAAACATGAGGGGAGCAGGAGTTTGGGGCTGGCCTGACCACAGTTTGTGAAGCCTGGAGACAGTTGCTAAGGGAGGGTAGTGCTACTGGGAGAATGTTGCTAAGGGCAGGATGGTGTCAGAGTGGTTCAGAGAGAAGTTCCCAGTGCTGCTGGGCTGGGCTGGGCTAGGGAACTGGGGCCCACGGGTGCGGCACACCAGCACTCCCAGCGCCTGGAGCACAACCATGGCCACCTGGCCCCTTGCCATCCACTGGTGCTGTAACCTCCCAGTGTGTAGAGCTTAGGACGAGCAGGTGATTTGGGGACTAGCATGGGTACGGGTTGTAGAGTTATGAGCCCCCAGAGGCATGTTGGTGACTGGAACTATGGCCTTGGTCCTATAACCCTCACACCTACACTCTATGCTGAAGCATACTTACCCAGTGTCTACACCTTCAATCTTCCATGGAAGCCCCTGGCCACACCCTGAGCACCGTCACACCAGTCCACACTGCCATAGCTGAATGCACTCAACCCTGGCACTCAACATTCTCGGCCTTATTCCCCTGACCGCACCCTTAACCAGCCCTGGGACTGAGGGCCTAGACCTTTACCGAAGCACCCACCCCCACACATCCACTAACAGCTCAGTACAGAAACCCACCAATAATACCCTCAGTCCTGCACTAAAGTGTCCCTACTATACCTTCACAGTCCCCCTGCAGTCCCCTGAACATACCTACAGCCCTGCACTGAAACTCCCTTCATGTATCACAGCCCAGTACTGAGGCCTCTTGATCATACCTTCAGCCCTCCACTACAGCTGCCTCCATCCACACACACCCCAGTCTTGGGATTAGGACCCCCCCCAACATACCCACAGCTCTTACTGAGCCCCTAACCAGAGCTTCACAACTCACCCCCTCTCCATAGACCTGTAGCCTCTGACCTCATCCTCACACCCACCATTGTCCACAACCCACAGTTTTCTGGCCTCATGCTCAACCCCGCCCTGAAGCTCCCCAAGTGTCCACACCCACAGACTTGCATTTCCAGACTCCTAGGTACTGCACTGAGAGCCCCCATGTCGACTCCCCATGTCGACTGAGAGCCCCCATGTCGACTCCCCCATCTCTACTGCTGGCGCCTGACCACACCCTGTCATGTCCTCAGCAAACATCTACTTCTGCCTTTTATCCTAAGGCCTCCAGTGACCACAGCCTGGGCCCCTAAGGAACTACACCCCCTTTATATTTACCGCTGGCCTTAACACTGAAAACCCTCTCCCAGTAACCACCCTCACCCGTCCCTAAGCTGCAATTTCTGGGACTGGTCCCACAGCCCCTACATTGTTATGACTCTGTGGGCCCACAATCCCAGGCCACACAGCACTCCCCTTCCCTCCTACACTGCAGCCTCCCACCAGGGATCCAGAGACCCAGACCAAGGGTAAAGTCTGGGGGAGCTTGCGGGCCACAGATGCTTGTCCCAGGTGACTGGCAGGATCCTGCATCCAGTGCTCACTCTTGTCTGTGGGAAGGATTCTTGGTACTAATCAGGTGGAGTCCGGTCGCAGGCCGTAGTCCCAGGAGTCTAGCAGGCCAAGGATGCAGCAGCCACGCCCAAGAACGGAGGCCACCCGCTGGCCCCCACTGGGACAGCTGGAGTCATCAATCAGCCAGGCGCGGAGGTGGGGGAGGAACGCTTGGGGCCCAGGGCTGGGCCGCTCAACTGGCTCGGTACCATCTGGGATTGGAACCCCTTCCAGGGCGCTCCCACCCACCTCCTTCCTTATCATGCAGGATACGGATTAGGGTGGTCGGCGCCCGGGTCTCTTACCTGCTTCCACCTGGTGGCTGTTCCTGCAGTGCGTGTTCAGTAGACAGAAAGACGCAAGAACGGACGGACAGACGCGAGACCAGGCGGCTCCAAAGCTCTGCTCCCTGCCGGCTCCAGGGCGGGACTGCAGCCCGGGCGGTTCCGCCGTATTATCCCCTGTTTCTCGGTCTCCATAGAGACAGCGAGTCCCACCCCGAGGGCTGTCTCGGTGGGAGAATGACCAAGGTCACGCTGGCCCCACCCACCAGACCCCGCCCCCTCCGCGCTCCACGGGGCGGGGGGGGCGGAGCTACTGCTTAAGCCTCATCCAGTAGCTCCAGGGCAGCTCCATGGCTTTCACGCTGGGAGAGACCCGCTCCCTGCAGCTCTGGACATCCTCGGATGACCCCGTAATGTGAAAACAGCCTCATCCGGGGCTTCGCCCAAAGTTCAAAGCAGGCCCCCTCCTCCATGGGGGAGATGAAGCTTCTCAGAGCCACAACCCAAGGCCATTTGGGAGCTGGAGTGGGCGGGGGTTGGTGGAAGGGTACAGAAGGTCGGGGCGGGTGGAGTTAAGCTGGGGAGAGGAGCGAGAAGGCCCCTCCCTCAATGGCAGGGGGGTCTAGAGCTGGCTCAAGACCACAGCTTTCCAATTAACGTGCAGCATCCCCAGGCCACAACTCGGGAGCACTGAGAGCAAGAGGGAACAATAAGCGAATCGAGTGGCCAGCCCCAGAATCCTGGTACACCGACTGCCATCCCAAATGCAGGAAAAAGCTCCAGGACCTCTGGCGTCTGCGTACTCCTTTATTCCCATCCTACCCCTGTATCAGCCTCGCAGTCTCTGCTCCTGCCTCCGGATCCAAAAGCCTGCTTTCCCTCTTCAAGCATAAACCCTAATCTTCAAGAAAAATAACCACCAAGCAGCCTTCCGAGTACTTTCCACAACCAAGGGCCTTGTAATAGAGCGCCTTCAGTCCACGTGTACCTTTCCATATGACAATCTGGGTGCTGACTCAATGTACGAGCCCCTCCCACCCCACCCCTAGGCCTACTGACAATGGTCCAGCTCCAGGATGGCCTGTGGACCTTGCCATTAAGAAAGTATGCAGTAAGTCCACAAAAGCATTAAAAAAAAAAATTTATTGGAGCATGATGGCCGGTGGGGCGGGTATTGCTGAGTCGTGGGGGAAGGGGTCCCATCCCGCCGACAGCAGGGGCTCCTAAAGTGCACTCGGTGCTGCGAGGGTGGGGGTGTTTGCATAGAGAATCCCGGCTGGCCGCTACTCCTTGGCCCTCCTGCCTCTCCTCCGACTAATCCAGGCCGGCCTCCGGGCTGCCCCGCGCCCCGGGCTTGCCGCTGCTCGGGCTCACGAAAACCGCGGGCGCACGCACCTGCAGCGCCAGCCCAGGCTCTCGGCCCCTGCCCGCTGGGGCGGCCAGAGCAGCGCTGCCCAGGCGGGTCTGTGCCACTGGAATCTCGTCCATGGACTCGGCTGATGACGAGTGGTAGGCGCTTGCAGGCCCAGCGGCGTGCACTGGGCTGGCGCCGGCGGAATCCGACAAGGAGCTGGAGCTGTGGCCTGGGGCCCGGGGCCCTGCAGGGATGGAGGAAAATATGAAACTGGGGACTGTGACACTCTCAGGACCCTACCTTTCCTTCCCTCAGAGCTCAGGAAGAGACACTCACCTGGCAGCCTAGGCAGCTGCGATTCAGGGTCCAAGGTCCCGGAGGTTGGCACCTTATACACTCGCCGCTTCCTCTTTTTCTGCAGAGAGAGGGGAGAACCTGAGTCCCCCTTCCCTAGACTTGCACATCCCTCAAAGAAGCAGAGGAGTGGGGCAGATTAGAGGGTTCTTTTCCATCCCCTTCCTCCTGGGTAAGGAGGCCAGCACAGTCCCCCTTACCTGGGGTCGGATCCGGGGGGACAGAGCCCGAGTCTCTGGGGAAGAGGGTGGCGGGGCTTCCACTTGGCCTTGGGTGGCAAAGAACTGGGAAAGACTGAGGGGGAAGAGGAAGGATGATCGCTGGATGGCCATTGTTCCCTCAAATCCTGCCCCACAGGAGGTCCTCAAATAAGCCTCTCTTCCTAGCACACAGAAAGGGGCATTGATTTGTCTAAGGGCATGCCAGTCTGGACCCAGACCTATACTTTAGCCTTCGTCTATCCCCTTTCCCCCACCTCAGATGTCCCTGCCATGCCAATGAGAGATGTCCAGGTGGCACATGCCCAGGTTGCACTCACTTGGCATTCACTGTGGCAGGCCTGGCCTGGCCAGGGGGTTCTGGGCGCACATGGCTGAAGGTCCTCATGTAGAACTCCATCTCCTGGGGAAGGTGTGGGTCAGGGAGGCTGGGGGGCCAGGTGTGGATCCAAGGCCTTCTGGGTCCTGAGCCCATCCCATCCTGTATACAATACCCCATCCTATACAGAACACCCCCTTCTCACTGGTCTCTCTGGCAAGTCTGCGTGCAGAGATCTATGACAATCCTCCAAGCTTTCCAGCTATATTGGGCAAATCCCTCTTGTAGGCCAAGGCTTAAAACACCCATTTCTGGACCTTACCCCTCCCTACCATCTTCTTTACTTCATCTAGTCAAAGTACTCCTCCAGGAAGCCCCCAGCCTCATAGGTTCAATGCACCCAGTCTGCTCTGGCCAAAGTGGGTGGTGGGGAAGAGGCTCTCAGAGTAATCCTCTCCTGTTCCTCTCTCCTCCCAGGGCTCCAGTCTCTGAACTGATTTTTTCCCTGGCTGGGAGACTGGCTAGCCGTTCATATGCCAGAGTGTGGACCCAAGGCTGTGTGCATGATGGACTGGTGCTAAGTCTTCAAGGTACCAGCCACAATCCTGGCTACCTGGGAGGGGGGGGGGGGGTGCAAGGGGGCAGTGATGGGACTGGTGGGACAATGGGAGGTCTCCCCCACCTCAAAAGAGGAGGCATTAAGATGTAGAGAAAAAACAGCACCACAGCCCCATCCGGCATCAGGCTTATAGGCAAGTTCTGTGTCTACTTTAATCACTGATCCTCACAGCCACACTGGGAGTGGCAGACCCAACCCCTGAAAGTACAGGGACCTGGGGCCAGGAGGTTACAGAAATGGGCTGGGCTACCATCCAGCACACAGGACGCCCACGAGGATGCAGATGAGGAGACGAAAGCTAGGAAAAAGCCAACCTGGGTATGGAGGGGGTAGGGCAGAGCCAGGACAATGATGCCCCACCCCCACCGGGTGGGGGAGGGCAACGGGACAGCTGTCGCCTGCTCTGAAGTCGTTTCCATGGAGACCCAGGCGTCCTGACTAATGCAGAGATGACACTGTAACAGCAACACTGTCTCTAAAACAAGCCTATGTTTGGGGGCAACGGCTCCAGAGTGGGGCCCCTCCCGCATTCCTGCTCAGGGTGGGGGTGGGGAGGCTGCCTTCAGGGCCCTGGCAGATCTGGGGGACAGAGCCCAGCTGGTCCCATGCCGGCTGCACAGATACAGAGATTGAGGCCCAGGGTAAACCTCATCCCCAATCAATGTCCAGGCTAGCCCTTTGAAAAGTAGTGTGTGTGTGGGGGGGGATGACAGCCTCATCAGAAGAACACTAGAAAAGGGGTCAGAGGCCAGCTGTGAGACTGGGGCCTCAAGGCGATGACTAGGACCTTCAGGTAATACTCAAGTCACATCTTTCCTCTTCCCCAGTGTGGACTCAGCACCCCTCCAGGGCCCGGCAGAAAGGGGTAAAGCCTACCCTAGTGCCCCTGGGCTCCAGAAGTGGGTGGGGCAGGAAGGGTGGGAGAAGCAGCAGCAGAGGATGGTCCCAGAAACCTGAGGGGCCAGGATGAGACAAGAGGCAGGCCCTAGCCAGCTGGGGATGTTTGAGGGTATACCAGGGTGTGCCCACTCAAACCCCCTTCCCCTCATCACAGCTGTTCCTAGGATCCTCTCACAGAGCCCTTCAAAATGTGCGCATTCAGAATGGTACCTCTTACCTGGGCACTGTCCTCTCTGCAATGGGACAAGCATATCCCTCCTCCCCCTGGGGAGGCCTCAGGTCACGTGCAGAGGATATTAAACGCCCTTGTTGCTTTTGCTGCCACACCTGACTCCAAGCCTAGGCAGGCAGTGACTACAGGGCAGGGGCCTAGAGCCCTCCAGTCTAAGCATCCTAGGGCAAGTCCTGCCTCAAGGATACTGATTATGAAGCTTGAGAAAGTCCCTTCCCTATGTTTCTGAGCCTGTCTCCTCTGTGAAGTGGGTATGGAGAAGATGCCCACTCCCAGGATGGCTGCCACTGCACTTAGATGGGTTCAGTGCCAGGCACCAATTTATGTACACGGTGGTGTGGCAGGGGGTCTGCCACCAAAAGTCAGCACTCCCCCAGGCCTCCCACGCCTGGGAGCCTGGCCCACCCCTGGCAATGACAACAGGAGAGGCGGGGTCCCAAGCCTTCTCCCAATCCGCCCACCAGCCTGTGTTTGTGTCTAGTTGCCATGAGGACTTGGGATCCAGAGTTCAGCCTTCCCAGCAAGGCCTGCCTGGGCCCCCTGCCTTCCCAGTCCCTGGAGGCTCCAAGAACTGGACCACCCTCTCCCCCAGCTACTAACCTCAGGAAGCCATGGGGCGTGGGAATGGGGATAGACTGGTCAGGAGCTAGGCTAGAGGGTTCCTGCTTCAGAGTACAAAGACCTTAACTCTGCCCAAACCCAGCTTGTTTAACCCTTCTTGGCCTCAACAGATTCATCTGCAATATGGGTACAGTTACATTACCTGCCTCATGGGCTCTTTTAAAGATTAAATAGGGTAGTGGGTACAAGGGCTCAGGGGCATGGGGGTGGGAGGGTATAGAGAACTGATGGCTCCATCCTAGTTACCTATTTGCTAGTCCATCCCTCTCCTTTCTACAACCCCAAGATGCTCACTTTCAGGCTCCCACATTCCATTACCTCCAACACATGCTTGGAGCCTGCGCAGGAGTGTACATGGGGTCAGGGAAACACAGAGCTTCCTCTGGCTGTGTCCACTCTTGAGCAAGCAGACACATGATTAGTATAGGCTTGGCCTCACTCCTATTGCCTCCAGCATCCCCTAATCCAGCTGCGGTTCCAGGCCTACTTCCCTTTGCCCTGTCTCATCACTGCTGCTTGCTACACAGCCCACAACCCCTCCCACACCCAGGCCCCAACACCCACCCCCTTAGCCCTCTGAGCCACTTCTATACCTGAATGGGCCGCATCTTGGGGGGACATGACTCGAGCTCCCTGTGGGCCCCCTTTGCCTCCTGTGGCAGGCGATGCTGCACGATGTACTCATAGGTGGTGAGCTTGTGCCACACTGAGGGGGTGAGGAGAGGGCTCAATGCAGTGGAAAGGGGATCCTAGAGTTCAGAAGGTAAGGGAGGGTACCCAGCCCCAGCCTAAAACCACTGTCCCCAAATACACTAACCCATGAAATGAGACCAAGGCACCACAGAAAGGCAGTACTGAGAAGACTTCAGGGTTCTACAGCACAGCTGGTACCTCCTTATGGCCTAGGGACCCCTATCCCCTGCAAGGCAGGCGTAGGTTTAGGGGTGTCTGTGTGTGTTTGTGTGTGTGTGTGTGTGTGCAGGGGAGGGGGTAACTTACTGAGATAAATGTGGAAGCAGAACAGGTGGCCCAGCAGGGCTGTGGAAAGCAGGCCCAGAAGGATGAGTAGGGCCGCCAGGGCCAGGATGGCAGGAGCCTGCGTCTCCACAGGGGCAGCGGGCAGGAACACAAACCATACATCTGTGTGATTCTTCAGGACTGCAAGGCACAGGCAGACTGCTCATCTGGGGCTATGACCAGTGACGGGAACAGACACAGGGTTGGAGGGTGAGAGTGGGCCAGGAGCTGGAACTGACCTTCGAAGTGGTGATTGGTGCGCAGCTGCATGGGGTTGACAAAGAACTCCACAAAGACGTAAGTAGCCACCAGCACGAGGAGCAGGACACCCAGTAAGGCAGATGCCACACTGTGTAGAAAGAGCCTGGGCCCAGCCGTGGGCAGCTGTCAGCACCCAGGTGCTCCAGCTGGGTAAGGGCCCAGGACTCAGAAGGGCCCATGGATGGGAGGGGGACCCAGGCCTATAACCCCACAGTCCCAACTCCTCATGCAGTCAATGGCTTAGGGCAAAGATTAATTTGGGCGGCTGCCCCAGCAGGAAGAAGACCCCAAACCCACCCTCAGCAGTCCCAGAAGGCAGCCTTCAGGAGCATCACCCTCAGACCAGCCCACGCTAATGCACAGCACCCCTGCCCCGCCGCATATGCAGACTCAGGGTCCCTGGCTCACACTCAGACCCATGCATCCCCAGGCAAAGGTGCGGCCTGTGTCTCGCTCTCACCGGTAGTTCCTCTCGCCCACGCAGTTGTTGAGCCACTTGCAGTGGTGGTCAAAACCGCATACACACTTGTTGCAGGCGCTGCAGTGCTTGGAGCGAGCGCTCCTGCGGGAAGGGGTGGAAGGGGCACAACGCGGTTGGCTAGCTTTTTCCGCACTTTCCCGCAGACCCCTGAGCAGCGGAGCGGGCGGCAGAGGGACCAGGGACCCAGACACCAGACCTGGAGCAGGTTATCCACCCGGCCCTCCGCTCCACTACGGAGCGTGGCGACAGGTAGCGTGCACGCCCTCTGGCGGCACTGCGAAGCAGAGCACCCACAGGAGGCCTCGCTTCTGAAAGGCCCGGGGACTCCAAGGCAGGAAGGAGTGGTTGAGAGGCTTTACACTTTCCCACTCTGGGACTGCACACCTGCATGACGGTGGTATGCAATGGAAATGGGGGTTCCTTTCCAAGCAAGGACCCATGAGCCCTGCCAGGAGACGGTGCAGGTCTGGGACCAGGCAACGCTGCTAGGTCCAGGGCGTGCACTGGTTTTTCTGAATTCTCCATTTTTTGAGTCCCTGTTTCCCTGCCAGTCTATGGGACTTTTACTGGCATTCTTCCAGAAAACCCCAGTCTGTCTGGGCTACCCAAAGAGAGCCAAAAGAAGAGGAGCAAGCTGACATCTAGGTGAGCATTTCACCGCAGGGGATGCAAACCCAAAGGGGTGTGAAGGAGTGAGCTGCAACCCTTTCCCTCAGAACAATACGGAGTGGGTAGCCACTGCCATAGCATCCACTAAAGAACAATGCGCTGACTGGTACCTAGTGAAGGAAAGGATGACTGAACACCAAACTCTCCGGTGCCTTAATGCCATCAGCTCTTACTCTGTCCTGTGGACACACCCCCTTCAACAGGCTGCTAGATCTCGAGATTAGAACTGTGGAGCTAGCCTTGGACCATACCCCCATCCCCTAATCCCTGCCTGAGGCTGGAAGCTCCAGCTTCCAGCTAGGGAGGGGCCTAGGGAGGCAGACAGGGACAGCCAAGGGGGTATGGGCTCTGCACGTTCTGATTGCCCTTCCCACTAGCAGTGTGATCTGGAAGAAGTTACTTGGCATCTCTGGGTCTCAGGTTCCTCATGCGTAACTGAGGATAACAGTACAGGCTTGGGGGCCAAGCAGGCTGGGTTGTGAATCTGATTCTGCTATCCAGCAGCAATATGACCTCAGGCAGGCCTCTCAGCCTTTTGCAGCATTGGGCTCTTCCTCTTCTGTGAGCTGATGAAGACGCAGCCCACCCTGCAGGGTTGTTCAGAAGCACTTAGCACATGGTAAGTACTCAAGCATTAATTCCCCTCCTGCCCCTCTCTGAAAATGCTTGTGAGAATTGGGGGGTGAGGTTTGGGGTTGCTGGCAGAGTTAGTCATTAGGAAAGTCTGTGGCAGTGCCAAATGTTTCCTAATTTAACTGTTGGAAATGCCATTCCTCATCTTCTGTTTCCAATCTCTTTCTCCACCCAGTTCTCTGTCACTTTATCAAGATTCTTGACTAGGTAAAACACAAGGGTTCTGAGGCATCAGGATAACTCTAAAGCCTTGGGCCTGCCCCTCTCTGCATTGAGTGCCCACTGGCAGTTTCCCGGGGCACACTCACCACCCACACACCCTCAGCCCACACTCACTCACACATCTACGTCGCACAAGTTGCAGTGCAGATCTTCAATGACATGTGCGTGTTGGCTACGGTTGAAGACGGGCAGTGGCCCTGCATAGCTCTTGTCCCGCACATTGGCATCTGCTGGATCGATGGAGACAGCAGTCAGGTGAACCACGAGGTGGCCGGCAAAGATGGCGCCCATGCACTGGCCCAGCAGGTTAAAGACTCAACTCCGCACTCTGCTGGCTGGAAGGCCCCTCCCCAACTTTCTGGAGCTAGACAACAGCTGGCTCATGTGACTCTGCCTGTGCCACCTCTTACCTCCAGCCCCACAAGAGCTTTCTTGTCAGACCTCTTCAGCATACCCATGCCCTAGATGGAAGAGAGGAGCCATCTGGTATCAAAGCTCACAAGCCACTGCCTACTGCTGCTGAGGGGCCCAACCACAGGGCTCTGGCCTCACTCCTCCAGGACAGGCACAGGGGCTGGCTGATCTGACCTCAAAATCCAAATGATCTAGTTTCAGATTCTAAATGATGAAGTGAGACTGAAGGAAATTATCCTCTAAGGCCGAGGAACACAAAATATAAATTCTAATTTTGTTGCTCTTGCTTTCATAGGAAGTCAACTCTGAGAGGGAAGCAGCCATCCTTTCTCAGCAACTGGGCCAGATGGAGAATCACTTGTAAACAGTGTCCCATATACCCAGCACCTCCCCTACTGGAGACCAGCTACTTGGAGACTAGGGCTGAGGGTGCTAAGGTGACCTGACATATTTAGGGCCTGACCAGGGGCAGCATGTCTAATTCTGGAGCTAAAACACAGATCTTCTAGGACCTATCTGCTCAATGACTAGACCAAATTCTGGGGACAAGTATGCTGACAACTTGCTTCAAAGTCTAAATTAGTAAAAATTCGCCAAGAGACCTTACCCAGGCACCCATTCACCATCTATCATACATCCAGTTATCCGTCCATCTATCCATCCATCTATCCATTCTCTTGCTAACCAGGCAGACACCTTCCTTCCACCATTTATCCTCCATCCATCGGCAGCCCAACCTCCTTTTTCTTTCTTCCTCCTCCTCCCAGTGGCTAAACTTCCCTACATGTCTGCATGAGCAAGGCTCTGCCCTAAGGTGCTGTACCACAACTGAATTCGAGTCCCACAGACTATCACAACCTCTGTCCCTGTGGTCCTTGCTGTAGGTCAGGCCTTCACCCCTTCCCTGGGTTATTCCATAGTTTTTGACTGTTCCTCCTGTCTGCGTGCCCTTGAGCCGGCCCTTCACTTGGTCCAGAAGTGAGCTTTGAATAGCTTAAACCTAAAACCTTACCTGCTTCAATTTCTACAGTGGCTCTCAACGGCTCTCAAGCTAAAGTTTACTATTCATATCACCAACCTCTACTCCTCACCATTCCAGCCTCTCTTCAGACACACGGAATATTTAGCAAACATTTAGCTTCCTGCCTGCTCCAACACTCTTTCCCCTTGGTTCATTCATTCAACTGTTCACTGAGGTCTTTCTCTACACCCGGCCCTAAGGGCAATAGGAAGAGCAAGACAGACTTAGTCCCTCACCCAACGGAGCCTACAGTCAGGTGGGACATAATATGTTAATCACATAATAGGTTGATTACAACAAAGGAAGTTCACGGGACTAAGTAACTGTGGCCTCATTTAGTCTGATGGGATCCAGAAGGCTGCCCTGAGGACATATCACCTCAGCTGAGACCTGGAGAAGAACAGACAAGAGGCAGGCACCTGGTAGGTAACGAAAGGAAAGGCGGGGCTTGGCTGGGTACTGGGAGCAACTGTACTTACTCCCACCACGTGGTTATTATCCTGGCTTCCCAGGTACCCTGGTGGCCAAAACCCAGGTAATCCTGGGTGCTGGGTGTGCCCACTGCAGATCATGGGAGGAATGTTTCATGAAGCATTCTACTTAAGAGCACTGACTAAAGCCTATTAGTCACCTCAGGGAAAGGCCAGTTTTCACAGAGCTGATGGCCCTGGGCCCTAGTGAACCAGGAAGCCCCCCGGTGACATTGCTGGTGTCTGAGGACAACAATGTTCTCTAGAGTCCTTCTCCACACACCTGTCCTGGTCACTCATCAGCCGAGGGCTCTGCAGTTTCCTAACAAAGCACACTTACACTTCTAGCTTACACATTCCAGTGCTCACACGCACACTCCTGCACGTTCCTTGTCGTCTGGGACACTGGCAGGACTCTTCCTGTCAGACAGAGGACGAGGCCGAGAACCGGTGAGCTAGCAGAAGCTGCTCAGCCTGGTACAGCCGAGAAAGGAGCTGTTGACTCTATGCTCAAAGTTTTCAAGTTCATCCCTGAGAACCTCCTTTAGCTCATTCTAGTCCTCCTCCCCCAAGAAGCCCAAGAAATCATTTTCGTGAAGCACACACACACCAGGGCACACTCTCCTGGGGACCCAGAGGCCAGACCCCCTTCTGGGGCCTTCAGGGGCCATCTCCCAGCCGGGGGGAACTAGCACCCTAGGATGAGGACGATGAGGGGCACATGGCCACCTGCTGCACCCTGATCTCCCAGCCTTGCAGCCATGTCCCCTGCTCCCAGTTGTGAGTTGTGGCCACAACTGGGGCTGTCATACCACCAGGCTCAGGCAAGTTTGTGTTTGTTACTGTTCCCAGGAGCCTCCAGGGCATCTTTATCCCTCCTCTTGTCAATTCAACCTCACCCTAAGAGTATGATTTACAGAACCAAGGAGCTCCTAAACAGCCCCGGGTACAGCAAAATTATTTGACCCTATATAAAACCACACTTTAAATATACCAGGAAACTTCGTATGTAAAAGAATTCTACCATGACTCTTTTTGAAAAGTGAAGAAGTCTTTTGTAAATGGAATAATTACTCCCTAATTTATCCCCTGTCAAGCTCTGGACATAATTAGCTTTAAGGCTTTCTTCTGTGATCACTCTTGTGGTACCTCAGTTGATGAGGTTCCCAGCTGTGTGGGCTTTAAATGCTCCAAGGCACATTGGGTCCATCTGCTCACCCCATCAGGCCGAGAGGTCAAATAGGGGTTGGAAGCCAGGCTGGCAGGCAGCTGGTCCTCCCGGGCAGTGGAGGGGCCTGCCTGCACTCTCAGAGGCTCCAGAGCACAGCCTCTGGCCCCTGCCATGCCCTGTCCGCTGCCCCAGTACTTCCAGGTACTACACTTTCCCAAGGATACAGCATAGCCAGCGGGCACCCAGTGGTGAGGCAAGAGGGGAACAAGGACCCCAAAGCCAATGACAGCGAAGAAGAGGTAGAGCAGCCAAGCCACAATCTGGAGCGGGTGAGGGGGCCAGCTCCACCCATTCCGACGGGACCGCTGGCCCTGCAGCTCCGGCGAGGGTCTGCTGGCCTGTGCAGGCGCCGTCCACACACTCTTCTCAGGAGCTGTCTTGTTGGAGGGCTTGTTGCAGATGTTCATCTCCAGAGGGAAAAAAAGTAGAGAGAGCATTAACCTGAGGCCCGGGATGGAGCCCAGAACCCCATGCCTACAGCCAGGTTTCAGCAGGGGAGAGCAGGCTGGGACGTGAAGCCATCTCCCAGCCGGGGGGGATCTAGCGCCCTAGGATGAGGACAACAGTTGGTGGGGGAGGGTGGTAGTGTAGAGCTCTTCTCAAAGCCCCAGAGCAAGCTCTGGCCCTGGCCCCCAACAAGACAAGGTAGGAGGGTCCAGGGTTTATTCAGGACACAGTGGGCCGCCTATTACTCGAAGCGCTCCGTCTCCACAGCCATCAAAGTTAAACCCAGTAAGACATGTTGTCATCTGTTAACAGTATCAGGCTGAGGCCAGAGCTGTGAGAACACATGCTGATTCTGTTAGTCATCTCTGTCCTGAGGCCCAAATGCAAGTGTCAGAGAGGGCCCCCTTACTCTTTGCGAGGGCAAACAGGGAGTAGGGTTGCTCAGAAGGGGGTCTGGCCTCTGTCCCGGGGCCAGCACGTACTCCCTTTAGGACAGGGGCCAGTGGGAGACCCTAAACGATCTCTCCTATGCCTCAGAAGGGCTGCCTGAGACTTCTTAGCTGGGGAGGAGCCAGCATGCAACCGAGAAGGGAGGATTCCTCCTTGCTTCACTCCCAGCAGATGACCATGTTTCTCCAGGTAAATTGGGGCCTGGTGCACTGGAACAGGAAGGTAAGCTGAAGCTCTTTGACTCACTTGAGATCTCATGGAAGGCAGAGCCTCCTTCAGAGGCCGACCACCAGGTGGCAGCACTCCCCCAGCCTCCAAGTCACCATCCTTCCATCTAAGAGGTGGCCTCGTGGCCAAAATTACAAGCAAGGCAGGCAGGGTGTGCAGTCATTCCAGAAGGAAGAAGAGTCCCACCCCCACTATCTTCTGGGACTGAAGCGGGACTAGAGCCTGGGCAAGCAGTGCCACAACTGGGAGAACTCGTGGTGGGAAGGCCAGGAGCAGGGGACAAAACCCAGGCGGCTGGACTCTACTTTTAGAAGGCCATGCCGGTGGGTCAGGAAGTCTGACTATGCCAGAAAGTACAGCAAACACCCCTCAGCACATCTGCCAAGAACATCTTCCTCACTTCTCAGCCCAACAAAATGTGACTTGACCCTCAGAGCCCAGCCTAAGCATCCAGGAAGCTTTACCTGATGCCCCAAGCAGAGTCACGGGGCTCTCATGCTTAGTCTTTATTGGGCAAGTCACTTTGCCACTCGGAACACTGTGTCATCCCCCTGTTCTGCCAGTTTCTCCTAAGGGAGCAGCAATACTGTGATTCATTCACCCTTATTCCCCACACGCCTTCCCTCAAGCATCTACAACATACCTTGTACATAGTAGGTGCTCAGTAAATGTTTGCTGACTTGAAAACATCTGAAATAAAGGGAGATGTGGGTGCAGAAAATGATGTGGAATCCTAGCCCACGCGAGACCATGGCCCACTCTGCCCTCAGTCTGCACAGCCACCATACAGACACCCCTCCTGCCCCAGCGCCCCCACCACTGGCTCTTACCCTGAATGCTGGACATTCGCACTTAGCCACTGCCCTTCATCGCACCCGAGGCTTAGAGCCTCCTGCAAGTCAAGTCTGGCCTGTTCATCTCTGAGCTAAATGGAGTGGCCTTAGTTTTCACTCAGGGACTCAAGTGGAATCCCTGGGTCATCTGCTTTGTCTTCAGTAAGAAACAGTGAAAAAAAAGGTGAATAAAGAGCCCCAGCTTTGGAGGAAACAGATTTAGGTTCAAGTCCTGGCTGAGTGGCTTGAGTTTCTTCATCTGGAAAACGGGGGGAGGGTAGGGATGGCTACCCAGGACTGTGTGTAGATCAGTGACCCTGTAAGAAAAGCCCTAACACATAAATGTTCCCTAAATGACAGATATTGTAATTACCCTTAAAATCGCCCTCTGGCTTGTCCCCATTTCTCCAAAGGGAAGCAGCTGCATCTGATACTCTGTGAGGTTAATTTTCAAAGTGATGGGGTTGGTTGAAGCTGCTTTCTTAAACCAGTGGTCCTAAGGAACATGTTACCATGAGTTCTAGGCCCCTGCATGGTCATTCTAACCATGTCACCTTTGATCAAAGGGACAAAGGTGATTTAAAAAAAAAAAATTGGCACCACTTCATTTTCGATGTCCTCAAAGGTAACAAATCTTTGATTTCTGGAAACAGTCAAAGGTCATCAGGTAAAGCTTGGTGAACAGCCAAGCTGGGTGACTGCTCAAGGGCAAATCCTTGTGGCTTGCACCTCAGTTCTCCAGTGACATCATCACCAGGGTAACTACTTCAAAGAGAACCCATGAATTGGGAGCCCTCCTCAAATCTCTGCAGCCCTATTCCTTAAGGAAGTTTCTAAAGAAAAAAGCAGAGACACATGGATGACATGTCCCCACTGCCCAGAGTGGGCAGGCAGTGGCCATAGGCATCCCCCAGTGCTTCTGCCTCCCTGTTACCTGAAGTGGGAGGAGTCACCATCTGAGGCCTTGAGGGTGGCTCTGACTCCAAACCAAGGGACCCTTGGCCCAGGGAGGGTGCTGCTCATATGAGACTGTGGGCACGGGGATGCTACTACTGGGCCTAAAGCCCTTGCTCTAGTGGCAGCACTCCAGAGCAGATACCCAAGCTGGCACACCATCTGCCCCAAAAACTTGGGCCCTTGTGGGGAAATTCTTTGGGCCCGAAGGACTTTGGTTAAAAGGGCTGAGAGGCAGGAGAGAATCCAAGATGGGGCCTCAAGCAGGGATGGAACCGAGTACTGTCACCAGACCCAGGAACTTCTCTGTCTCTTCCCTCTCGGCACTTCTCTAGGAGACCAGACTGAACGATGCATGGCTCTGCTCCAGGACAACTTGGCCAGCCTCTGCTCTCACACACTGGCCCAGTCAGCACTTTGGGGGCCCAGCCCCCTGAGTGCGCTGAAGATGTAATCACAGATGAGACCAGGCTCCTGCTTTCTGGGGGCCCAGACAGGGCAGTGGGTGAACGGGTCCTGCAAGGGCCAGCCATTCAGTGTAACAGAACACAGGGTGGATGGGGGAAGGGCGGGGGATGTGCAGGGGATGGAGCCAGAGAGAGAGTTGAGTCCTGAGAAGCTGCAGGGTCAGATTCCATGGGGCCTAGGAGGCCAGGCAAGGAAGCTTGGGTACTACTAAAGAGCCACCAGGAGTCAAAGGAACTTTAAAGCAGAGGAATCACATAAAGGTGGTGGGTGTTTTACAAAATGTCTAGTCCTAGTGGGGAAGAGGGCATGAGCAAGAGGGGAAAGGTGACACCACAAAAGGGTGGGCTAGGGAAGGCAGCAGGCTTATGCTTTGGGAGGAATTGGTCAGGAGATGGAGGTCAAGCCACAAGGTCCCTTAGACTACCCAATGCCCCCAGCTGCATCTCTGGTGGGCTGAGAGGTATATATGAGCCTTATTAAAAGATTTTTCATGTACCTTCTGCAGTCACAGAAGTTAAACTGGTGGAGATGGAGGAACGACAAGAGCGAAGAGGCCCCATGGAGTGTTATGGGCAAAAGTCCCCACCGCCTGGGTAAGCCAAGAACCCACCTGGCTTCTTAGGTGGCTTGGAGGGGGCTATACAGGCCCCTCCCAGTTCTCCCAGTAAGGTGAAGGTCATTGTCCGGATGACAACAGTCTCTTCCTGTTAACACTCACTTGCTAAAACCCTAAAATAGCATTTTCAAAAGAAAGTTAGGTGACCTTAATTTATATGCCTGATTTAAATGAGGGAACTCTAATCATTTCAAGTCCTCACTATGAACTGAAGAAGAGTTATGTGATTGCTCCACCTCCCTCTTGCCCACCTCTGCTCTCACCCCCCACAAAAAAAAAAAAAAAAAAAATTTTTTTGGAAATGCTGTTCTGAGATTCATGAATGGCACCCTCAAAACAACCAGACTGCGGTGAAAAGTCCCAGCCCTGGAGAGGCAGTGGGCAACCCTGCATTCCTGCAAGATGCCTTAGAATTTCAGAAAAGAATCAACTTAATTACTAAAGAGGATCTGTAGGAGGAGGCCACTGAACTGGGAGGGTAGAGTGATGGGGTCAGAGGAGAAGAAACTGGGCTGTTGGGGGGTACTGAGGGCCTGGGAGCCTGAGCCACCAACGGAGAAAGGCAGGTTGGAGCTAGGCAAGAAGGACTAGGCCTGGAGACAGAGCCAGGTTCTGGTTCCTGCCCTACCTCTCTCAGATCGGGCAACCCGGAGGCAAATTTCAGACCCACCTCTTTGGGTGTCTCCTTTACTCAGCTTTTAAAAAAAGTTAGCTTGGGTTGGGGGGAGGGCACCTGGCTTCAATAGAGCATGCAACTCTTGATCTCAGGTTTGTGAATTCAAGCCCCGTGTTGGGCTCACTTACAAAGAAAAAAAAAAAAAAATTAGCTGTAAGGCAATTTGGCAATGTCTACCAAACTTAAGAACACATACCCTTGGGCCCAGTCATTCCATTTCTAGATATTTATCTTATACATATGGTCACAAAGTACACAAAGAGTCACTGCAGTCTTGTTTGTAATAATAAAGGACAAAAACAATGTAAACTGACTGTGGGACATCCACACAGTGAAATGCTGTACAACATCAGAACAGGGAGGAATGAAATGACCTTCGATACACAGTGAAGGGGAAAAGCAAGATGTGGGACAGATAGTTGTAGAGTGTGCTACCAAGTGAGTAAAAACAAAGCAGGATGGAGAGATGTTTAAGTTTCTACTTGCACAGATTCTCTCTGGAAAGAAATGCAAGAAAACAGACACAGGGGCAGCCAGCCTGTAGGCAGAAGAGTTAGTGGCTGGGGTGAGAGAGATTGGCTTTGTGCACTGTTTGAAATTTTTTTCTAGCATGTGCATTTAATGCTTTTGAAAAAAAAAATTATGTCAAATAATTGAGAAGTGTCACCTCTTACCCTCCAGGTCCCATTGTGCTGCCGTGCGGACCAAATGTGGGCTCCAGAGCCCTGTACCATGCCTGACAAGCAAGGAAATCCCACCTAACGACCATGCAAAAAGAGTACCCGGTTTTAGTTCAATGCTTTCTCACTCTCCAAAGCAATTCCGAATGGTTCATCTGCAAAGCTGTGAGGAAGGGTCTTGTCAAAGCTGGAACCGGATCACCAGGCAGCACAACAGAGGAGCTGCTGGGCAGGACCTTGGTCCAGTCCTCAGCCAAAGGCCAGCTTAGCTTCCCATGATTCCAGAACCCAAAGGGAAGGTACACACCACGGGATGGTTTTGCTCACAGCCATCTTTGCTTTTTGCTAAGAAAAGCTAGAGGATTTATGGTTGCCACCGGAATGATTTTCCCTGGATACTTCTTACCATATTTTCATCTCCCCCCCCCCAATCCGCCTTTAAAATAATTTTCACTAAGATTTAACAGATGCCCAATTTCAACCTAAACAGGAGCTGGAGAAAAATGTGGCATGGTGCACACTGTTTTACGATGTGAAAAGTCATTTATAGAAGAAGTTTTGGGGCAAATACTTTGTTTACAAAAATTCCTCACAGGTGCCAGAGAAGTCTCTTGCCTTAAAATTCTGGGAAGTGGCACCAGTTTGACTAAAAGATGCACATCATAACAAGGCCCAGAAAATAAACTGGAACTTCAAGCTGTTCTCATAGTCCTCCCCGATCACTGATCTTAGATCTAGCTGGGCTCCTCACAGAAACAACATGCAGAAGTTTGATGCTAGAGCAAGAAAAGCCTGAAACCTCAATCATTCCTGAGTTGACATGGTCCAAAAACATTGTCTATACCGTTCTCCTCCTGAAGCAACCACTGCAAACTGTTTGGGGTTCAAGTGCAGCCAGGGAAAGGGGACAAGAAGGGTGGAGTAACATGGAGTGAAAACAAGGCCACTGAGGAGCCAAGGGTTGTTGATTTTAACCAGGAAATCAACTCACATGATTGTAGGAGCAAGCCCTAAGGAACACCCACCAAGAAACAGTCGTTAAGAACAAAGTTGTGTCAAAACAAAGTAAGAAAAACAGAAGGAAAAAAAAAAACAAACCTGGCTAATTAAGCACCAATTTTGCCTTTACTGCAGCTCATGCGATTATCTGTTTACAAACCCATCTCCCACAGCCAACCACCAGTTCCACAAAAGCAGAGACCACCCTTCTCCTATCTCTAAATCCAACTCTCCTTCAATAAGAAAAATTATAGCATTTCTTAACATCTGTGCTGCCATCACCCTAATCCAAGCCTCCATCATTACTCCCCTATCGTTTCAGTGATAATACTAGCATTTAGAGGGTACTTTTTCTGTGTGGGGGCACTGCTTTAACTGCTTTGACAGAATTCACTTGTAAACCCTCACAACTCAGAGATCTCAGAGACCTCCTCCATCACTGGTCTCCATGGGCTGATCCATCACTTTGTCTCTCATAAACAACATGCAGAACATCTCCCTTTCACAGATGAAGACACTGGGTCTCAGAGGGACTAACTTCTAGGAGACACAGCTAGCCTGGCAGAATTAGGATGGCCCTCAGCTGACTTAGTGTGTGGTCATAAGGCGCTGCCTACAGCAGCCAGAGAAAGGTGAGCTTTTCAAAATTTCAGACTCCTCCAAACTTTTCAACAGTTTCCTCCTGCTGCTGGGATAAAATTGAAACCCCCATTATACCCTGCAATGCTCCCCTCCCCCTTTCTATTCCTTAATGGTACTTTGCTGTCCCTGGACCTTCGCATTTGCTTTTCCCTCTTCCACAAACACCCTTACCCTACTTACAATGCTGGTTTCTTTTCAACCTTCAGGTCTTTGCTTCAAAGTCACGTTTTACAGCAGACCCTGCCTGACCACCACCCCCGCCCCCTCCATTACATCACCAGAGCACTTATCTCGACCTAAAATCACTTTTGTCTTCTATCTGGCGCCAGCACCCCCCGCTCCCAAATACTCTGTGGGTTCTGGAGATAGCCGTTTCTTGGAGTCCTCCGTGGCCCGGCGTCTGGCACACAGTAGGCGCTCAACTCAGTTACGTGAACCTGATGAATGCTGGAAGGAAGCCCCGCGCTCTGCCTGGTCCCTGGAGTCCAAGCCACCGGCTCCAGGCCGAGGTGAGTGCAGAGTACGGAGGGGCGGGGGGCAGCCACAACCCTGTGGCTCAGGCCAGACCTCCAGGTGAGGGCGGCGATGGGGGCTCCTCACCTGCGCGTCGCGGAGACCGAGCCAGATCGGCCCTGCCAAGGTCACCCAGTGGTTCAGCCCCCGCGCCTGGACGTCCACCCTCCAGGGCGGCAGCACTTCACACCCTCGCAGCGGATATGATCCCCGGGACCAGACGGCGGCGCAGCCCGGAGCAGAGCCCCATCCTGGGCCGCGCGACGGTGCCTGGGCCAGCAAGTCCCCGGGATCCTGCTGGAGCGGGCTGGTGGTGCGGCCGGACCAGGCCGCGGCGGGCTGGAACTCTTCAGGCGCTGGGCCCGTTCCCCTGGCAACCGCGCAGGCTACGGCGCCCCACAGCGGCCAAACCGCGCTGCGTTGCTTCGCACGGGCAACGAGCCTGGGGAGGGGCCAATCAGGGACCCCCCAGAACCCCAGCTGACCCCTTTCCCCATTCCCTTTCAACTTTTCTCCTCAAAAACCCATCCCCGCCCCCACCCCACCCCGTTCCACAGATGTCTTCTCGAAATCCTAACTTGTCCCCAAAACGACACCCTTCAGTTAGGCCACCACTCTCAGGGAGAACTCCCCTCTCCCCCCGCAGTCAGCCTGCACACTTTATGAGTATGTGCTGAGCACTGGACATTCCATGGGGAACACTCATGAGATCCCTGCCCTTCAGGGAGATTATTGGGTAAGGGAAAGACAGGTACAGCCAATATGCAGGTTTCCCCATAATATAAAGTGTGAAGTGTAAGAGCAAAATATATAGCACAAAATATCTCCTTTTTGTATTTCTTTTAATCAAGTATATATCCTACTGAAAGCCCCCATCCTCCAGGCTGGTAGGAAATGCAGTCTTGGTCTCCACTGGGCTCTTCTTAGCCAGGTTATTCCAAGGACTCAGGATCTCCTGCAGCCGCAGTCTGAGAAGGCACGAGCTCTCTCTGGTGCTGAGGCCACAGCCATTGTCCCAATCACAGGACTTCCAGGGTCGGGCTCTGAGGGGCCATGCCTGCTGCCCCAAGATTGCCAGGGACAGGTGCCTGCATCCTGGGTCCCAGGGCCTAAAGACTCTCTTTCCTGGACCTGACTTCCCTGAAAGCCAGGGAGCACTGGAAATGGACGCTCCCATGAGCTCAGGCTTTCCCCCGCCCCCCAAAAAACAATGAAGAAACTTTGTCTTCTGCCAGCAGTCCTATGCATATCTCCAAGACCCTAAAATGGTGAGCAGCTAGCTGGCTACCTGCTCATAACAGGTTGGACAGAAAGCATCCCTATGCCTAAAATGTATGAGCCACATGTGTACAGTAAAAGCAACATAACAACTCCTGCTTTGTCAAAAGTCAGTTGTGAGTCATTGTGCAAGTGATTTAATCTCTCTACCATATAAATTCTTGTTTCCAGGCCTGATAAACTCAAACTCGGTGTGGAATAAATATCACTGCTACTCTGGCCTCAGAAATACAAGATGATTTCTCTTGTTAAGATGTCAATCAAGGGGCGCCTGGGTGGCTCAGTGGGTTAAGTCGCTGCCTTCGGCTCAGGTGATGATCTCAGGGTCCTGGGATCGAGTCCTGCATCGGGCTCTCTGCTCAGCAGGGAGCCTGCTTCCCTCTCTCTCTCTCTCTCTCTCTGCCTGCCTCTCTCCATCTACTTGTGATCTCTCTCTGTCAAATAAATAAAATAAAAATCTTTAAAAAAAAAAAAGATGTCAATCAAGATGACTCTTACCTGGAATTGAAGGACTTTAGGGTCCAACAGAGATGGTGACCCAGAAATCAATGTAGAGGATGAGCCCATTTATGCCCACAGAGAAGGGAGGGAATCTGAGAGTCACAGCCATCTAGGCCCTGGGTCCACCTCCCTCCCAGGCATGTCTCTTGGATGCCCCATGGGCATCTAAATGCAACATATCCCTATATACCCTTTCTGTGTTTGCCACAAAGTTGTTCCTTCGCTCACGCCCTCCAAAGGGCACCACTAACTACCCAGTCTCCTCCTGGTCCTTGCCCATCTAAATCAGATAGTTCCCAAGACTAGGCAGCATGTCCAGTGTCCATTCCTCCCACTCCACTCCAGTCCAGACCACCAGCATCTTACTTGCCAATTCTGCCCTAGCTTCCTAACAACTCCCTGCCTACATCCAGACCATTCTTCTCCCAGCTGCTGGGCTTATCATTCTCTCCATATTTTTTTAAAGATTTTATTTTGGGGGTGCCTGGGTGGCTCAGTTGTTAAGCATCTGCCTTTGGCTCAGGTAATGATCCAAGGGTCCTGGGATGGAGCTCTGCGTCGGGCTCCCTGCTTGGCAGGAAGCCTGCTTCTCCTTCTCCCACTCCCCCTGCTTGTATTCCCTCTCTCGCTGTCTCTCTCTGTCAAATAAATAAAATCTTATAAAAAAAATTTATTTTTAAGTAATCTCTACACCCAACATGGGGCTCTAACTTACAACCCCAAGATCAAGAGTCACACGCTCTATTGACTGAGCCAGCCAGGTCCCCCTTTCTCTTTATTTGTTAAAGTGGGTTGTAGTCTGAATAATGGCCTCCCAAAGATGTCCACATCCTAATCTCTGAAAGCTATGAATATGTCACTTTACAAGGCAAAAGGGACTTTGATTAAATTAAGGAGATTGAAATGGGGGAGATTATCCAGGATTTTCCAGGTCAGCTCACTGTTGGTCATAGGGCCCTTATGAGAAGGAGGCCCAAGGGTCAGAATGGGAGAAGGTGATGTGATAATGAAAGCAAAGGTCAAAGAGATATGACAACATTGTGCTACTGGCTTTGAAGGTGGAGGAAGAAGCCAGGACCTGAGGAATGCAGACGGCCTCGAAGCTGGAAAGGGCAAGGAAACAGATTGTTCCTGAGAGCCTCCAGAAGGAACAAGCCTGCTGACACCTTGACTTTAGCCCAGTAAGACCCACTTCAAACTTCTGATGTCCAGAACTGTAAGGTAAAAAATGTGTATTAGTTTTAAATATGTGTTGTGGCAACAGCTTATTGTAGCAATAGGAAATTAATACAATGGGTTTCAGATAGGGTTAAATACACATACAATGAATTAAAACAGGTCTCATTTGAAACAAAAGTCCAAGGGGCAGCTCAGATTCCCTCCATGCCTGCCTGCGTGATTCCAAGCCAGGCTCTCTGAGAAAAGGACTCCCTCTGGCCAAATTGCTTTTTATTTTATTTATTTATTTAATTTTATTAAGCTCTACACCCAATATGGGGCTCAAACTCATGACCTCAAGATCAAGGGTCCATGTCTACCAACTGAACCAGTCATGTACCCTTGGTCAAACGTGCTCTTTAAAAGCACAGGCAGTTTGATCATATTCTTCCAGAGTCTGTCAACATAGTGAGGTCCCCAGTCCAGAACCTGACACCACCCAGGGCATCACCTACTAAAGAAAGCAACACGTTGCCCGCTCCTGTAGCAGAGAAACCTTCTCAATATGAAAATAACATCTGATAGGTCTTCTGTGTAAGATACTTCCAGGGGTCCCTTTTGCATTTAGGATGAATTAAAAGACCACAGCATGGCTACCAAGGACTTGAAGAACAAGTTCCTGTCCACCTCCCCAACCCTGTCCTCTCTGAGGATTATGCAGCTTCTGGAACCTACAGCACTTGCTGCCACCCCCAGGCCTTTCCCCACAGGGTTCCCTTTACTTGGAGTGTTGTCTTAGCTCCTCCTGCCCCTTTGGCCAATTTCCATGAAAATGTGAGGCCCACTTTTCTGGAACAGAAGTCAGCCCCTGGGGCAGAACTTGTTCCTGTCCACAATGGCTTCCCCACAAGGTCGGTCCACCCAGGGTGGAAGAGCCCAGGCTACAGGGAGAAAAGGCCTAATTGTGGTTTTAAGGGCTTGTACACCCTTAAAGATTAAAAAATCCCCATGCCCTGTGCCAAACCAGCCTATCCTTCATTAGAGCCATTGTGCACCTGGGCCCCCCCAAGACCTGTCACTCATCCCAGGGCAGGTCCATAGTTTACCAGTTTCAATCCCAGCTCTGCCATCGCCAGCTGGGCAAACTCGTTCACCTCTGTGAGTCTCAATTTGCTCCTTTGGTGAAACGAAGGTAACTAGCTACAACACAAGTGTGATGAGGACTGAAATTGTGCTTGTACTACTAAAGCACATGGAGTGTTCAGCTGGTAGTAGACATCCATATGTATCATCTAGACCTTGCTTGTCTTTCCATCAGGAAGATGATGCTATCCATTTCATCAACTAGTAAAATTAAATTTTAATTGTCAAATTAGCCCGGGTGGGATGTGGCCAGCCATAGCTCTCATTCTCTGGGTCCACTTTGTCTGGGTCACAGTACCCTTTCCAATGAACCCTGGATGAACCGGCCCCTCCACTTGGCTTGTGCCCATGGTCACCAGAATCTCTTGCCCAGGCAAGCTCAGTAGCCTCCATACTGGTCTTAGTGCTTCCATTGTGGGCTCCCATCCCCCTCAGTCCATTCTCCTCACAACTTGTGGCTGTCAAAAAAAGTCTTTTTTTTTAAAGCCAAACTGATTATTTTACTTCCTACTTACAACCATCATGACCCTCCCTGCTCCCCAGGGAGCAATAGTTCAATATACCATGAAATTAGAATCAAACCCATCTCCTCACAGTGGCCTCCAAGACCTCCCGTGCCCCCTGGCTCTGGGTAATTCCTACAGCCTCATGGGCTTCCCTTTCCTCAAAGGACCAGGCTTGCGGTCATACTGAGGCCTTTTGCACTGATGCTGTTTGCTACCTGGAGCATCACTTCCTCTGGGCTAGCTTTCCCCCACCCTCAGAAGACACTGTTACTCCCATAGCACCATGGGACTCTGGTTTCCATTCTCAGTGGCTCCTGATTATGTACTGATCTGATTAGGGGCTGTCCCTCCAGACAGCCAGAGAGACCCCAAGGGGAGGAATGATGCTTATCTAACTCCTTAGTACAGAGCTTGGAACACAGCAAGCGCTCAATAAATGTTGGCTGAAGACTGGAAAGGAGGGCAGGAAGATGGAATAAATGAAAAGATAGTGCTTCTTATAGGAGTTCTTTTGTGAAGCCTTTTATAAAGTAAATGATACTTGTTGAATTATTTTTGGTGCAAAATTGTCTTTCCTATGTTATTATCCCTTCAACGTAGTACATCTATTTTTTTTTTCTCTATGCCTTGTAAAGATTTTTTTAATTTGCTACGCTAAGGACATTTTCTTCCGATTAGTTTTTCCGTGTTAAATGGTTTTTATGACCACTTTGTGCTTTAAGAAAGAAATACTGCTCGGTATTCAGAATATTCTCTCAGCTTCCTTGGTGAGAAGATTCTGGAAGC